GCAAACATTCCCATATATTTCTGATAGCTGCATATGTGACATACAGTAACTCCACCATTCCTATTCATAATTTCATAAATAAAAATACAAAAATAAATATTTGAGTTTAACCATAATATGTGTTCTGTCTTTTCTGCAGGATAAAATTGAAATTGTAACCAGCTTTGTATTGCTCGTTTAAGAAAGGGCGATACTTTGAACAGTTTCATTTTAAATTAATCGGAAATGAGAAATTGTAATCTGTATAAAGGCAAAAAGGCAATTTTTTAACAAAGGATGAGCCTTTCTTAATAATCTACTGGAGAACCAGTTCGGGTTTAAGAATAATTTATGTATGAGTGAAGCTTTTAGTTAGTTTTAATGCTTTAATATTTAATAATTCCAGCCCCCAAACTCATATTCATTATATAAATAGGCACATTTAATTTTGTCTGGCTTAACGTTCCAAATAAAGTGAAATATTTTTTGCTCATATGATTTTAAAAAACTAGTCGTCTGGAGTAGGCAGCAGCATTAGAAAGTAAGTAAATTGTGATAGGACCAAATCAATGTCATTTTCCCATAGACAACCACTCCATGGTTGCAACTTTCTATTGAAATTGGTTTGTTTATATTTTTAGAGATATGAATAGCAAGTAGGTCTACTTCACCATCAACACATTTTATTGTTAAACTAAAAAGGTAGTGTAAACATATTTTAACTATCCAATATGTAATATGATACACTTGTCATAATTGGGTTTTAGTCCAGAGAGGCTAGAAAAGGGATTAAGATCTTTAATGAGACCATGCAGGGATCCAGATTGCGGACTTAAGAAGAAACTTGAGTCATCGGCATACATTGACACTTGTTTTCAACCCCTGGATTTCTAACCCCTTGATATTCTTGTTGGATCTAATTTTAATAGCTAGCATTTTCGATGGCCATAATAAATAGATATGGAGACAACGGATAGCCTTGTTTTACTCCTCTTAAAAGCTCAATACTTTCTGAGAAGTAACCGTTATTTACTATTTTACACCTGGAGTTGCTATACATAACTTTAACCCATTGTATAAGAGACTCACCTAAATTAAAATAATCCAGGCATTTAAATATAAATTCTAGTGGTACTTTATCAATAGCCTTTTCAAAATCTGCTATGAAGACCAGGCCTGGTATCTTTGATGTTTCATGTTCTATTGTTTCAAGTAATTTTCATTTATTATCTCCAATATCTCGTCCATGTAATAAAAATATGTCTGATCAAGGATAAACATTATCCGGTATAACCTTTTTAATTCTACGTGCTATGCATTTCGCCAAGATTTTCGCAACACAACATTGCAGTGTAAGAGGCCCCCAGTTTTTTAAATGGACTGGATCTTTATACTTACCACCTGGGTCCTGTTTCAGTAGTAATGAAATCAGACCTTCTTGCTGAGTACCTGATAGTCTACCATTTTTATAGGAGTAGTTAAAAAAGCTAATTATGGATCTTTGAGTACATCAATAAGGTCCGATATACCTCTAGTGGTATACTATTAAACACTGGTGTTTTTCCAGACTGAAAGGACTTAATTGCCTCACGAAGTTCCTCTTCTGTAAGTTGGCCTTCACACAGGTCTTTCAGTACATTTGTTAATTTTAGATGATTATTAGGAAATAAATCCTTACAGTTAATATCATTCAGTGGAGATGGAGAATGAAAAGAAAACATATACTTAAAATATGCTTCCACTTTCAAAATATCATTTGGTGAATCATGGATGACTGTCATTTATAACGAGTTTCTGTAAATTGTTTTTGGTAGCATTTCTATGTTGAATATTCAAAAATGATCATGCAATTCGCTTTATTTTTGTAATAAATTACACTTGATCGTTCTTGAATAGGTTCCTCCAATTCTTTTTGTTTTTCCTGTAATTTATTTTGTTCTTCTATAGTAGTTTTTATTGCTATCTGCCTGTGCTGTTATTTCCTCTATTTCCTTTATTAGTGCTGTGCTCATCTGAGTGAGAACCCTGTTTTGCTCTGCCGACACAGAAGATTGACCTGCTTTATTAAAGCCAGGCCTCCGAGTACGTGGTCCATCTCCAATGGCAGTTGTGCAGCAAGGAGTGGTTAGTGGGTGATTCGGTAAGTAGAGAAGGGAGGCTCTCCACTCATTAATTCAGTCATCTTTTTGGTCAATGACATTGGTTTGTTAACCTGACTCACGAGAAGTCTAGATAGCACACATAAGCTGTTGAAATCAACGGGGGAAGATTCATCTGTAGCAACAGCAAGTCATTTCAGTTCAGTGGGGACGAAACGGGAGAAAACGTTCTGAAACGGAGAATTTGTCTAATAAGAATTCTCATAGGTTTTTCGGTTTCAAAACATTTCCTCGTCCGTGCCAACTGAACACTGAACCACAGCCTACCCTGCAATGAGGAATATAGTATGTACATGCAGAAATTACTGATGTGTATGAGGCACAAAATACTGAACAATCAGCAACCAGATTTGGTAGGGTAAAACCAGGGCCCGTATCGACAAAGCATCTCAGAAAAGGTCCTAGGAATCCTGTAAAACCTGTTTTAAGATAACAAAACTCCCAACTCAAGAGTAGGTTTTAGGATGATGTTAAGACACTGTCCAGACAAACTCTGAGCGAGGAGTAAAATCAGCTCATAAAAGTTTCTCAGCTGGTAATCACGAATTTGAAGTACAGTAATCCCTCGTTTATCGCGGGGGTTACGTTCCGAAAATGACCCGCGATAAGTGAAATCCGCGAAATAGAAAACTTTTTTTTTTTTACAATTAGCAACTATTACATGTATACAAATACAGTGACTCACGTGTAGGCCGTTTCACTGCTCTTCAGACTGGGCCGCTGCATCCTGACTGCGCTCTGCAGTGTTCTCTTCTTCTGAAGCCCGCGGTGCAGGTGTGTTTGTTCGGGAGAAGAACATAGTGATAGGCAGCTGTTGTCGCTCTTTTTTCTTCTTTGCAAAAAGATCCTTGTACACCGACATGCCACCATCGATTACGTTGGAGAACTGTAATGAACGGCTCATCAAAGGGTCCCATTCCTCACGGCTGCATAGCTTTTACCTTCCCTTAGCATGTCCAGAAGTTTAACTTTATCTGAGATAGGTAGCATCCTCCGCCGTTTGGGCCCATCCGCAGTTGCTTTTGTCGGTCCAGGCCGTTTCGTCGACATTATGGGTTTAGGAGATGTTCGAAATTACAAGATAATTTGGCCAACTTAATGTAAATTTGCCAAGCTGTTTTATGTACGTACACATAACTGCACGAGACGACAAAATGATAGCACAATTCGTAGCATGTTTTGATACAAGAAGCGGGAGTGAGTTTTTAGCGAATCAGAATGCAGAGCACAATGCACCAAAAAAAAAAAAATGCATTATGAAAATCCGCGAAATAGCGAATCCGCGATAAGTGAACCGCGAAGTGGCGAGGGATCACTGTACCGCAAAGGAAAGATAGTGATGACGCTTATCGACACTGTTGCAAATGGGGAATAACCAATCGCAATGAGGCATCGCCAGCTGTGTACTCTGTAGCGCGCTTCAGACAACCATGGTGAATGTGACAATGGTAAAACGTTTGATATAATTTCCTACTAACACTATCACTTTGCCTTCTCTTAATTATCGCCTAATGTGTTGGCATGCAAAACCTTTTATTTAACCAATTCTGATGGTTGTTAAAAGCAGATTTTTTACAATATTACCGTTATATCAACACACTCATCACTCCCGTTTAACAAATCTATAAATCGCTTTGGCACAGTAGGCCTCAGGTCACTTGCCAATAGTGTTGCATACGATGTTTGAAAGGTCTATCATTTTCATCGAACACAAAGTTAAAATAAGCCCTAGATGCCTTCAATTGCCCAATTTAGGCAACTTTTTTTAACAAATGTGATATTGCGCTGCAAAGGGATAACTTGAAGTAACAATGTAGATAAATAATATAAAATTAAAACATTAATTAGCCTAGTGGCTATAAGTATTTAGGCATATGTGAAATAGGCGTAAAGCGAAATCATTGTCAAAGGCACAAGAGATACTGTTGCATGTAGGTCTAGATTATTTATTGATCATATATAAATATCAAAACATTATTTTAACTCCAAAGTAATTGCATGTGGTGCAGGAACCACTGACTCGCTGCATTTTTCTATTATCAAGACACCTGCTGCTAACGCTTAACAGGTTAAGACAGCTCATGAGGTGTCCCAAATATCTGTTTACTAGGTATAACTTATGACTAAAGAGGCTTCATGCATAGCTTTTATTTTTACCCATAAGATGAGTAAAATGTCTATTCTCGGCACTTACGACCAATTTTCGACTCAGACACTGTGGATATGGGTCCAGACCTGACAAAATGGAGACAATAAATGTACTTTTAAAATAAACCATCGAAACAAAAGAAAATAAATATTGAATTCTTTATTTTATGTTTTGACAAACCCTGTTGATGTCACAAGGACATAAACACAAACAGCCAAGTAACAGCTTTGACAACAGTACGTCACATTATCACAACAATACATCAACAGAGCAGCTCTGTCACCACCTGGTAGTCCCCTGCAGGACTTTATTGTACCCCTGAAAGGCAGCACGGACAGAGTTGCTGTGACTAACTTTTAGCCTGCTCCCTGGCATTGTTTCAGAGCAGAGTACGGGTGTATTCATTAGTGCAAAACTATTTGCAACAGAAAACCTTTTGCAATGAAAACAATAATTTATTGGACAAGTTGAGGTTAGTCCCTCGCCGTTTCGGCACTTTTGCTTCCTTTTGGTTCCTGATGAATACAAACCCAGGTGCTGTACAGAGCAGCGTCACCACTGACCTTCGACGACACCCACCATCTCTGCTACTGACAGCAAAGGCCAATAATCCCATCAACACATCCATATAATCTCCAATCCAGACTGTTGGAAGTGCACAGATGCGTCTCAGTCTCAGGTCTCGAGGGCAGAGTGAGTGGCAGGTTTCAGTCAGTCAGTCAGTCAGTCAGTCAGTGGTGGGACGCTCCAGGCTGAGTCCCAATGAAACTCCAGGGAGGGCGCTCCCAGACCCTCACAGGCCCAGCGATGCCTTGAGGAGGGCGGCCATGTCCTCAGGCATGGTGCCCTCATCACCTGGGCACGAGAAAAAAAAAAAAACATACGATCATGTGATGACTCCTGTTCTCAATGTGTGTTACTGATGCATTACATGAAAAAGAGAGGGGCCATGGACACTGAGCTTTGGGTTGAGCACCTCTTTCTTACAATTAAAGATGTTGAAATGTCTGTGTGTGTCCCCCAGGTCCTTACCCTCCTCGGCAGCGGTCATGTCCTGCTCCAGTTTAAGCTTCTTCTGGCCCAGCTGCAGCATGCCACCCTCTATGGTGTCTTTATGTATCAGCTTGATCACCTGGACGGTCCTGCAGAAGGAAATGACCTTCAGTCATTCAGAGAGCAGTGTCCATTCCCTCACGATGACTAGATCCCCCCATTTTGTCCTCATACAGTACCTTCTCTAGGGCCAGAGGGGTTTTCCTGATCACATTGCAACTCTTGTCACTACTTCTAGAGACTTCTGTAAGCAAGACATCTCTAGCTACAGATATCTGACGCCCAAATATAGCCTAGCCCCCACCCTCCAGTCGGTCTCACCTGGTCTGGCCCCCTTCCTCTCTGTCTTACCTGGTCTGGCCCCTCCCCTGTCGGTCTCACCTAGTCTGGCCCAATCTGTGGCAGCGGTCCTCTGCCTGCTTGTCGTTATAGGGGTTGCAATCGATGTCGTGCATGATGACCACGTTGGCCGAGGTCAGGTTGATGCCTAGGCCGCCCGCCCGCGTCGACAGCAGGAACACAAAGATTTCCGGGTCCATGTTGTAGTCGTCAATCAGCACGATCCTGCACCAAACAAACAGATTACAATGGCTCCGTGCATTTTCTCTACACACTCTAGAAGTAGGAGATTCACTACTAGTATTGAGATACAACCCTACCAATGATCTCAGAGATATGCCAGTGAACAGCTTTTTGTTTTATATGTACTATGCCCCCAGTTCCACTTCCTATGGCAAAATACTGCACACAATTATGTTAGAAAGAACCCACTAGGTTGAATTCAACTGGAGCTCACCTGTCTGCTATGGGTGTGGAGCCATCCAGTCTGACATAGCGGTGGCCCAGGTGTTTGAGCAGAATCTCCACAATGTCCAGCATCATGGTGAACTGACTGAAGAGCACCACCCGGTCTCCCTGCCGAGAGAGCAGAGCACAGCACAGCCACATCACATATCAGGGATGTATTCACAAGGAACCAAACGGAGGTAAACGGGACAAAACAAGTGGGACTAACCTGAACTTGTCAAATAAGATACACTTGTTCTCAATGCAAAATGTTTTGCTACTGTGTGCACTAATGAACACACCCCTGAAACGATCTGAACATGGCAGATATAAATATAATGACTTGAGATAACCCGATTCTACACCATACTACAATTGACATCCTCCAGAACAGACCCGAGGCAAAACCCAAGAAAGAGTCAGGAAATACACCCAAAACACAAACAATCACAGAGTAATAAAATAAATAATAGTCTCTCTCGCTCTCCTTACCTTGGTCTTGAGTGTGGCCAGTAGCGTCTGGAGCAGGTGGAACTTCCCAGAGTCCAGCAGTAGGTCTTTGTCCAGCTGGTATTTGTGCAGGGACGAGTACTGCTGGCACAGCCGGTGAAGCTCAAAGTCCGACATCGCCGCCATGTCCTCCTGGATCAGCACCGGGTCCGCGTCAAAATGGGTCGGCTCCTAGGGGGAGGGGGATAAATAAATATATACATATTGAGAGAGAGACAGACAAGGAAGAGAGCGAGAGACGAGATAAATAGATCAACAATGAGAGAGAGAGAGAGAGAGAGAGACAGAGACAGAGAGAGAGACAGACAGAGAGAGACAGAGAGAGAGACAGACAGAGAGAGACAGAGAGAGACAGAGACAGACAGACAGAGACAGACAGACAGACAGAGAGAGAGAGAGAGACAGAGAGAGAGAGAGGAGATAAGGGTGGTAACATAGTTTCGTAGGAGATTGACTTTTATTTGATTTATATACATTTACAGAATAAACTAGAACAGACACAAAATGGCCAATAAAGCAGCAACCTTGAGCATGAGGTGACTCATGGCCTTGAGTCGCTCTGTGGTGTAGTACTGCCGGTGGAGCAGAGGGTGGTTGGCCATCTTCCTCAACTGCATCATCACGTTGCATAGCTCTTTCTCTACACAGAGATGGAGAGAATGTGAGCGAGTGGTTTAGGGTGCGAGAGAGCAAGAGCGAAGGAGAGAGATAACAGTTTAGTTGAAATTAGGGCACAGGATGGAAGATGCCGATCACACAAACAAGCTTCTGCACAGCCACCCCGTGCTTATCATCGGGAGATGCCCAGTTAGCTTCTCAGCCATCGCATTGTGCCAGCTATGCACCACCCGTCTGTCACGTCACTGCTGTAACACTACACTGAGTATGGTGAAGATTCCCCTAGAACCTGATCTTGGGTCAGTTTAGCATTTCCTCCACTAATGGCTAATATTAGGATTGGGAGAGGGAAAGCTGATCCTAGATGCGCATTTAGGGGAAACTTCACCCTGGACCTACACTAAAGTTCAGTGCAGTACATACTCTCTCCGATGGCAGACTTCTTGAGCTTGACCACCATGTTCTGGTAAAGTTGCTGCTGCTTCTCGCTCATGGTGCAGAATTCCAGCTTCTCTTCCTTAGCTGGCAGCTGCTTAAGAACCTGAGAGACAGACACACAAACGAGTGCATACGAACACGAGCGCACACACACACACACACACACGCCCCCCCACACACACATACTTTAAATTTAACATTGTGAACCATCCAGTATTTCTCAGTGTAATCAGTCACTTTGGGAGAGTCCTTACCTCGCACTTAACTCGTCTGAGGATGAAAGGTTTCATGATGAGTTTAGCCTGGGCGATGCGGTCCCTCTCAAAACGACTCTGTTCCTCGTGGGATTTCTACCACACAACAATTCAACACAAACATGATCAAAACACACATCCTACTGTAAGAGTCCCACTTAACATGAGGGGAGTGGGACCAGGGTCTGTATTCACAAAGTGTCTCAGAGTTGGAGTGCTGATCTAGGATCAGAATAGTTCCACCCTAAACCTGACCCTTGACCTTACCATGGAGAACATCTTGGCTATCTGCGTGGTGCTACTGGAGAACATGGAGGGCATGATAAAGTTGAGCAGCGACATCAGCTCCAGCAGGTTATTCTGCAGAGGGGTGCCGGTCAGGAGCAGCCGGTGCTCAGCCTGGGGACACATAGACAGGTAGTCAGACAGGCAATCAGGGAGAGGGACAGGGTGACACATGGACAGACAGAGACAGGGAGTCAGGGACACAGACAGCGAGACGGAGCCCAGGCAGACAGATTCAGGAAGTCAGAGAGATTCAGACAGAGACAGACAAACAGAGAGACAGAGGAGACACTGGGACGTCAACTATATTGCACACTACAACTGCTTCTACTACTTGTCAATGGGGAAGTGTGAGGCGGTGTGCCGTGAACTAACATTGATGGCCATGAGGTGGCGGTAGCGGAGGGAGTTCATGTTCTTCAACATGTGGCCCTCGTCGAACACGGCGTACTTGAGCTTGAGCTTGCGGAAGAGACTGCGGTCGCTGTCGTTGCCGATGGTCAGATTGTAGCTGTGTAGAGAGAAATTACACACAAACATGAGCATTTATAGTTTAACTTTCATTCCGTATGTAGACCTATGAATGTGCAAGCACACACACACACACACACACACACACACACACTAGGGAATGCTTGAGCACATTTAAGATGCAAGGCCTTTTAGTTCCAGTGAATTCCTGGTACGTATTTAATTGACTCATCGTGTTGTCAACACACAGGTTTGGAGACGTAGCTCAGGAGACTCAGCAGTGCCTTCATTTCCCTTATGGCTGCCTCATATACCGTTGAATGCTCATTAATATCATTCATTAATGCATTACAAAGTGCTTTTCTGGTTCAGACAGACACGTACCCCACAGCTGCAAGGTTGTAGGGTGAAGTTGCCCCAAGGCGCTGATCTGGGGCCAGTTTTGCATTCCCCCACCCTATGGTTAAGGTTAGGATTGGGGGAGGGGAAGCTGATCCTAGATCTGTACCTGGTGGAAACTTCAACCCGGAGCAGCTGTTAAGACAGAGTACAGAGGACGCCATGCTCTTCCCTTCCACTAGAGGTCATTGTGGTTCCACCAATAGACTGAAACCTATTGGACAATATTGTGCGTGCGTGTGTACTCACGTGGACACGATGACGTTGAAGTCCACCTGATTGCTGAGGATGTCATGTCGCAGGTACCGCCGGTCCTCCACGGAGCCTGAACATTCAACAGGGTTTACACATCATCAGGGGGTGTATTCATTCGTGATGGGGGCAAGAAATCTATACAGTTACATATCGGGATATTATTTTTGTGCTAGTTGGTTGTACCTGCACCAAAACACCTGTATTTTTCCTTCATAGCTTGTTCTCCATCTTCTTTTTAAATAGGGAGTCAATTTGTTTTCAGCCATTTTATTTCCATGACTGATCAAAACTCATTTTCTCATGGCTCTCGGTCTCTCTGCAGCAGACATATGGTGAGCAATATGTTTGGAACATCGAATCGCAATAAAATCACCGTATCGAATCGCAATACATATAGAATCGTGAGAAACGCAATATGTATCGTATTGGCACCTAAGTGTCGTGATAATATCATATTGTGAGGTCCCCTGGCAATTCCCAGCCCTAGTGTTCATTAGTGCACACAGTATTGCGACGGAAAACGTTTTGCACGAAAAGAGCCTTTCTTTTTGGAGAAGTTCAGGTTAGTCCCTCCCAGCTTCGGCCCATTTTCTTCCTAGGGAATACAACCCGGCTTAGACTCACAGCTAACAATCTACCACATTATCCTGGAGGGAGAGAGCCACTCACCGTAATAGACTAACACCTTGAGACTAGGGCACCACAGCTTTAGCTCACGAACCCAGTTATCTGTAGAAAAGAGAACACAGGTCAATTCAATCCAGTCCAATTTACTCAGCCTAAACAAAACATTATGCCAAACATGACAGATATTATAAAAAGGGCAACGGTCGTTTTTAAAGTGAAATGGTCAAACAAGTTTTTCACAAAACAGAAACATGCCAATAATACACTAATCATTTGCTTATGTCATGTGTTCTATTAGTGGTTATAAACAGGCTTAAAGTGGTTATAATGTGACTGCATGACGTGAGTAGAGCCCTTACCAAGGGTGGAGGAGGGCACAGTGATGAGGTGGGGGCCGTCGATGCCGTCCTGGTACAGTCTGGCCAGGAAGGCTATGGCCTGGATGGTCTTTCCCAAACCCTGTTGGGTAGAAGAAAGAAAGATAGAAAAAAATTAAGAAGATTTAAGAGAGATCTAGAGCGTGAGAAAGAATGATAGAGGATCAACATCTGCACTTCAAAGTATCAGTCTAAAAACAGCATCACGGAGCCCCAGGTTTCATATCAGGACTTCAATCACATACTGACAATCTAACACTATTTAACCAGGGGTTGCAACCGGTTCAGCGAACAGAACAAGTTTCAAACTCTGATTTAAACCAAACAAGGCACCCCCTTTCCCTTTTGAATGTTAAAATAACTATTTCTCACCCATTCCTTTAGTTCTCTCTGTCTGTGTGTATTCACCTGCAGGTGCTACACCCACAGACAATATTACTCAAATCTAAATCTGTGATGTATTCATTAGTGCAGACTGTAGCAAACAGGTTTGCAACGGAAAATGTTATGCAACAAAAACAATGGTTTCTTATTGGATAAAGTTCAGGTTAGTCCCGCCCCGTTTCAGGCCGTTTGCTTTCTAGTGAATACACCCCCGTTGAGGCCTTTCTACACCATCTTGCCACAGTATATTATATGTTTTCTGTTGGTAACAGTTCTAGAATACAGGGAGGGGGAAATCCACAGAATAAAAAAACATCATATACTATATGTGGGTAAGACCCAAATGGCACCCTATTCGCTATGGGCCTGTTCAAAAGTAGTGACCTATACACTGAGTGTACAAAACATTAGGAACACCTTCCTAATATTGAGTTGCACCCTTTTTGCCCTCAGAACAGCCTCAATTCGTTGGGGGCATGGACTTCTTTTGTCTTGTCCCTTCACCCTCTGAATGGCACACATACACAATGCATGTCTTAATTGTCTCAAGGCTTAAAAATCCTTCTTTAACCTGTGATTTAACAAGTGACATCAATAAGGGATCATAGCTTTCGCCTGGATTCACCTGGTCAGTCTGTCATGGAAAGAGCAGGTGTTCCTAATGTTTTGTACACTCAGTGTATAAGGAATAGGGTGCCATTTGGGACGCATCTACTGTATTCTCTAAAGCAATGTTCACATTGGCAGTTTGAAGTGACTCAAATCCTATTGATTTGCATATCCAATTCGAATCTGTTATTTTTCTGCAGTCTAAACAACCAAAAAGCACATGGAATCGGATATTTAAACCACCTTCATAGGTAGTCCCGTGTAGCTCAGTTGGTAGAGCATGGCGTTTGCAACGCCAGGGTTGTGGGTTTGATTCCCACGGGGGGCCAGTATGAAAAAAAATAAAAATGTATGCACTCACTAACTGTAAGTCGCTCTGGATAAGAGCATCTGCTAAATGACTAAAATGTAAATGTGGTTTTTCGACATATTTGGCATATCTTGTTACTCGCTAGCTACTCTGTTGACAGTTTGACAAGAACATGTGCTATCTATCTAGCTTGTTAATTGTTTACAAACAAATTTGTGAAAGTGTTAGAAAGCTAAACAGCTCCCTAGCTAGCTAGTTGACTGCTGTGGCTAGCCAAAATGGACTTGTTTTGAAAGATGGATCCTTTGAGGCTTTAAAAGTGTTCTTACCCTATGCTTTTGAACATGCAAAGCAACTGGGAAATGTCCATGGCAGGCATTGGTCACCTTCGCTTGCTACAGAACTTCTAAGTGATAGGAAGCACAAGCACCACCACCAATCAGCCTACACCACTGCACACACACCCGTCATTACTATGACAACTAGTGTAGCCTTGTCAGCAAATCACTGCTGTCTGAACACACACAAATCCGATTTGGTCACTTGTAACTTGCTGTTTGTACAGTCAGTAGTCAAAAACGGAGTTGAAAAATATAACAAAATATATTTGAGCATTAAGGCCTGCAGTGTGAACAAGGCTTAAGGGGTAAACCATCTCACCATCTCGTCAGCCAGGATTCCACTCAGCTTGTGTTGGTGCAGCAGGAGAAGCCACTTCAGCCCAATCAGCTGGTAGGGTTTCAACTGCAACCTGCATGGCAACCAATCACAATGCAAGAAATGTACAGACAAACCAATCATAATACAAGACCTTCAATGACAAACAAGACATTTAAAGGCAAAAACAAGACATCCAGTATGTGATACGTGTAGCATAACAACATATTTATCTGTGATGTGATACATAGTTGTTTAATGGGGTTAACAAAATGTTTATTATTGTATTACTTTTAGACAAATCATATCAGACGTGTGGTTAATCGTTTTCAGAATACATCCATTATGCCATGGTAAATGGATAACTGGATTACTATGGCATTTACTTAGCATTTGGATTTATCTGTTAGTTACAACAATGAGGAGTTGTTCTCCCAGTCTGAATATAAATGTATGTGTCCCAAATGGAACCCTATCCTAGTCTACTTAGCGCACTACTTTTGACCAGGACCCCATATGGCTCTGGTCAAAAGTAGTGCACGATATAGGGAACTGGATGCCATTTGGGACACGGCTATAGTAGATTAGATGTAATTGTCTATGAAAATCAGGACAGCAGTGGAAGTTGAGCTCACTTACTTTCTGTTGAGAACCGAGGGCTGGGTCACGGAGCCCATGCCCTTGTCTATGACCTGGGTGACTCCCTTTACCATCTTGCCCGAGATGGTCTGGCACTTGGACATGAGGCCCTGGACCACGGCTCTCTCCCTGAGCACCACCCTGCAGCCCAGGAGCAGCTCTGCAGACAGGCCGTTCTCTTTGTGGAACACCTCCTTCTGAGAAACGGACACACAGCGAGACAGACAGAGGCAGAGGCACACAAAGAAGTGTCAACAACCAGTCAATCGCTCTTATCTTTTTCTTCTGACATGATAGTCAGGCAATTGTATTGTTCCACAACAAAGCCAAACCATGATTAATATATAAGTGGCCATGTCATGGTTGAGGACTATCGTACAGTGGGCCAACTGAATACACGCCACAATCAACCTGGTGGTGGTGGAGCTTTTCCAAGTTAAAAAGGGCTTAGTGGCTTTTCACTTCATAAGAGCATATCAACGTGTCCAATTGAAAACGCATATTTTGACCAATGGGTAATAATATGTTAATTGTGTACAGTCGTGGTCAAAAGTTGAGAATGACACAAGTATTGGTCTTCACAAAGTTCGCTGCGTCAGTGTTATGAGATATTTATGTCAGATGTTATTATGATATACTGAAGTATAATTACAAGCATTCTATAAGTGTCAAAGGCTTTTATTGACAATTACATTAAGTTTATGCAAAGAGTCAATATTTGCAGTGTTGACCCTTCTTTTTCAAGACCTCTGCAATCCGCCCTGGCATGCTGTCAATTAACTTCTGGGCCACATCCTGACTGATGACAGCCCATTCTTGCAAAGCAATGATGACGGCACGTGTTTCCTTGCAGGTAACCATGGTTAACTGAGGAAGAACAATGATTTCAAGCACCACCCTCCTTTTACAGCTTCCAGCCATTTTCATGGCAAAGAGGGACTTTGCAATTAATTGCAATTCATCTGATCACTCTTCATGACATTCTGGAGTATATGCAAATTGCCATCATCAACACAGATGCAGCAGACTTTGTGAAAATGAGTATTTATGTCATTCTCAAAACTTTTGACCACGACTGTAGACAATCATCTAAGAAAGTAAACGGTCCAAACCTCATGCCTATCATAATCCGTTCAAAAGTGATTGGAGTTTTTACCCTTGAGGAATGGCCAAAATTAGGGTGACTAAATCAATGGAGGTCAGAGAAGAAGAAAGGAAGTGGTAAAAAATAAAGAAAACTGCACAGCATCGCGTCAGCTAAGCTGGATGCTGTGCAAGAATGAAGGCTACCTGACATGGTCACTTTCCCGATGAACTCGTAATCCTTCTTCTCGAGGACATAAAACAATAGAGGTAAGATAGATATCGATTTTGAGACGTGACGTAGTATTTTCATATTTTAGTATACACTTTTCATATTAATGCAAAATACCTGTTATTTTTCTAAGATTTCTCACAAAAACAAGCGTATCTCGGTGAAACGTCAACGGAGCACTGAGCGTAACGCAAGCTTCTCATTTTCAATGCCTTTTACATTTAATTCAGCTCGTCATGCTAATTTAGCTTTTTGCGATTCGCAGAAACAACTAACGACGACGACCACAACCTGTAAAATCCTCAAAAGTTTCTGCGAGAAAGCAGCACAGCTTGGTCAGTGCTCTGTGTTTATTATCGGATGATTTAGGTTACGAAATCAGACCTTTTAACTATACTGTTAATGAAATGTTATGGAAAGACCCCACTGAACGACTCAGAACATGAATAATCACATTTGTCTTGGTCAAATGTATTTTATAACATTAGGAAGTGAAATTTCATCACCAAAGCGCGTTTTTCACCGACTCTGGGCAGAGTGGATGGACAACGTAGTATGTCTAATGACCCTGTTTGGAGCTGTGTGCGAGTGACACAATAGCAGGTGGCCAGCCAGGCCCACTGTATCCCTCCCTCCCATGCTTGATACCATCACAAACATCAGAGTCCATACTCATAAAGTGTCTCACAGTTTGGAGTGCTGATCTAAGATCAGGTTCCCCCCCGTCCATGTAATCGTATTAATTATGTTCTAAAATGAAGAAGAAAAAAAAAAACGGATCACTCCTACTCCGAGATGCTTTATGAATACTAGGGTTTTTTCTAGATCAAAAAGGGGCTTAGGTGGTGGGCATGTCAGGGGGCCGGCGAGGCTGAAAGAGAACATTTAAGAGGCCCCCATCTTGGTGGTGTAGAGAAATATGTATTTTTAAGCCAATTTCACACATGGAGCTGATAGAAACTTTAGCCGTTTTAAAACTAATTTCCTGCAATTCCATGCATTTTGCAATGGCTAATCCTTTGTTGTTTTGCCTAAACATAATAACAAAACCAATACTGCTAAATTCATTTATTTGTTGTCTTTATTCACCCCGACTGTCTCTTTTATTTTGGTGGTTGTTAGTTCTTAAAGATTGTATTCAAAAAATATATAGGTTCATTATCTTTTCTTTATACTTTCTATAAAGTTTATACAGAAAGCGTTTTTAATCCCGAAAATGTAGCATCCCAAAAAAATGCTTAGGCGTCCCGCCCAAGGATTTCAATGGCAGAGAAATCCTTGAATACGGGGCCAGGCTGCTGATGTTTATGGTATGGACATATTTCATGTGAGAATGAAGATAGATAAAGTAGGCCTAACACTAACACACTTTAAAATGTTGACATTTGGGTTTGTGGAAAATATGCATTTTCAGTAACACACTTTTAATTATGTTTGTATACCTGTGTAGAAACCGTATTATTCTAGTTGCTGCATCGTATTAGCATGTTGTTACATGGTAATTTAGCCTACTTGGCAAATGGAATTCTAATTACACAGTAATGGAGTTGAGCATGTTTTGTTATTAAAGAAGTGGAATAAGGATCACTGCTCGAAGTCGTCCTGATATTTTAGTCATTTTAGCAGACGCTCTTATCCAGAGCGACTTACAGTTAGTGAGTGCATACATTTTTTCATATGTTGAAACATCTCACGTTTGACAGATGTGTACCCTATATGAAAGGACCACTACATGGCATAAGTTAAATAAACCTCTTATTCAACATGAAATCCATACACATCAGTAAGCCGTCGGCTGCATTCAGCACGTGGAGGAGTGAGAGTGTCGTTTACTCCGTAATGACACCCTTGCAATGGATAAGCGGCCGGTGAGACTGATAAAAGGGTGGCAGTGCTAGGCCTAAACCTGTGTCCCAAATGGCACCCTATTCCCTATATAGTGCAATACTTTTCACCTGAACCATATGGTAGTGCACTATATAGGGAAAAGCGTGCCATTTGGAACACAGCCAAAGTGTTCTGCTCAGAATGCCTGGCTGTCTCCAACAGAAAAACACATTGAGCAAATAATAAAACCAAACCAAACAAAACAAACAGGCCATGCTGCTCCAAAAATCTAACTAGAGCTTTCTACCACGCTTTTGCTTTTACAGGGGAGCGTGACCAGAAAGATACCAAGCTGTGATATTTTATTAACACTTCTAGATTGAGAAGATATAGACTACGGTTGTTTTCAGTGTTAAAGTTAATGGGGGGAGAGAGAGAGAGAGGTGGATTTGTGTCATCACCCAACACTTTAAATTTGATAGTCTATTTATAGTGTCTCTATAATTGAAGTTCTCATATATTCCCTTTAAAAAAACGGAGGATGTAACGCATCCCAGCAGCAGTGAAAGTAACACATACACACTATGAACGTACCATTCAAGGCACTGACACTCTTCAAAATCAACTAACACTTGTTGTGCCCTATGTGGAGACATGTCCCTTCATTCCTCCCTGCAGTTTCCATGTTTAAAGAGTACTTCTCTTGTTCTAACCTGCTGGGTTTACCTTGTGGCAGAGCAGACTCACTGTGCAACACAGCTGGCAGTGACACACCCGAGATTGCTCTCTTACATAATATATGATATATGCCATTTAGCAGACGCTTTTATAAAAAATGACTTAGTCATGCTTGCATACATTTTTCGTATGGGTAAGTTTCTCTTACTTACCAGGTCCTGCCAAACAGCAAAGGGCCGTCGCTCCACAATCTTCTGGGCCTTCTTCAACGAGCAGCCGGCGATGAGGGACAGCTCATCCAGCGAGGCCTCCTGGAAGAAGAGCAGGATCTTGCCTTTGAGCGTGGATGTGCCCTCGTCCTCCGCCACAAAATCCAACTCGTCGTCCTCGCCCTCAAACTCGCTGCTGGCCCCCTCCCTGTCCTCGTCCTCCGAGCTGCTGGCCCTTTCGTAGGAGGCGCGCACCTTCCTCTCCGACGCCTCCTTCTTAGCCACGCTGGTCCCGTTAGAGAGCTTCTGGCTGGTAGAAGTCCAAGAGGAGGACGAGGAGTCAGGTCTAGATTCAGGTGCAGGTTTCTTGAACATCCATTTCAGAGCGGAAGCATTGCTTCGCTTGGCCTCCTCCTTGCTATCCTTAGACACCCGACGGTCTCTGCTCGGCTTGGCATCACTCTTAGCTTTGCTTGGTTTGGCATTGCTCTTGGCTTTCGGTTCCTTTTGCTTGACTTCAGGGGAGCTGCGTACTTCAGAGGCACTGGAGTCTTCATCTTCAGCGGAAGAATCAGTAAAAATGGCACATTGATGAATATAATGAGTACAGTACAAATAAATATAGTATATAGTGGTTGTAGCAGCATATTATCAGTGATGTTTCAACTGGGTGAGGACAGTGTCATCTCACCTGGGTCCGAGAACATGCGCAGCACCTCCAGGGCGTCATCCACTTTCCACTCATGTTCCTGGAGCACAGACCGGAGTTCCTATAGAGTGACAGACGGGGGCAGAATAAAACACTCTTCATTAGGATATGGGTTCTCTCACCTGGAGTGTCATGATCATGTCCCTACCGAGGTGTGTGTGTGTGTGTGGTTGCCGTGGCAATGTCCGACGACAGTCCCCCTCACCTCCTTATCCTGGTCGGGGAACTTCCTCTGCAGTTTCCTGACCATGGCCTCCCGCCTCTCCCAGCTGGGCTCTGCTTCCTCCTCAGAGTCTTCAGTCTGGAGGATCAGACCGCAGTGAAGGTTAATACTGCAGAGAACACGCAACAGCACAATGCCTGCCTGGGGTGTTTTCATTAGTGCGCACCGTAGCAAAATGTTTTGATACAAAAACACGCCTTTCTTAATGGTCAAGTTCAGGTTAGTCCCTCCCAGTTTCTGCCTGTTTGGTTGCTAGTCCCACTCTTACCAGAGACGGTCTCCTCTTCTTACTGGGCTGCTGAATCACGTCGCTGTCTTGGGAACTGCTGGATCCATCCTGTTTCCTCTTTCGCATTGAGACTGGACAAACAATTGTGTCAATGTGTGAGGAGATACACACGCCAGACGACCAAACCCAAAAAACATTTTTAGAAGGGTTCTGGTTTGGATGTCTTTTTTTTTTCTTCATGTTTTACCAATGGCAGACAAAGGCCTATAACCATCATTACAAAGAGGTCTAGTCTATGTTGTCATGAGCGGAAGAAGACATGGCATAAGCATGGAAAACACTGGTCAAGCTGTGTTTGGGGGGTGCGGTAGGAACAGGCTGCAACCTGCTGTCTATGATGGTAGTAAATGAAAGATACCTTTCTCACCAAACATCAGGCATGAGGCTACGGCACCATCCAAAGTGCTTGTGCTTTTAATCACCTAAAAACAAAGCAAAGTTAAACATATAGCTATGTGAATCCACAGAAACTGAGCAGCTGCCATCTTTGAGAGACTATACTATAGCTTGTGACATAAAAGTGATTATGACATTACCTCCAGCAGCTCCTTCCTGTCTCTTTGAGGGAAGATTTCCTGCAGTTTGGCCAGTCTCTCTTCCAGCTCCTTGTTCATTTTGTCTTCCTTATCAGATGTCTCAGTCATCTCTCTTACCTCTCCCTTCACTGATTTCTTGACAGGTTCCCTGAAAGAGAAAGAACTACAAGATTAGACTGGCATGTTAGGCTACACTTTATGGAATTCGCTACACCTTGAAGGAAGTCAAGGGGAAAATATACATCTAGATATTTCAGCTCAAGTCAGCTCTACTTACATCACCCTTTTTGTTAATTTATCACTCCTCGAGTCACTTGCCAAATCGTCAGAGTCACTGATGACATCTTCAAATACTACTCCTCGCCCAGGTTTTTCTTGGTTGGATACAGGTGGTGTTGTTGTTACTTGGGCTGTATGTGCCACAGAAATATAGGCAAAGACAGTTTAGCAATCAGATGTCATTAACCCAGTGAGTCCCACCGTAACGCTGGCGTGTTTTGGAATTCTAACCCCTTTTAAATAATTGTGTTTGAGCTACAGACTTCTGGGCTGTACCATTGGATTTGGATTTGAATCTGTAGATACCAACCATTAGTCTGTGTGATTAACGGTAGCTATAGCAGTGTCTGTGAGACAAGGGCAGATACTGAAGGGGCCCGGGGTTGGGTTTAAAAAAGAAAAATGTCTGTATCATAGGAAATCCCAGGTCATAGTGTCTATAATATCTGTAATAAGCTCACATAGTTGCTGTCACAAACTCCAAACAGTTGTCACTGACTAGTTGATATTCATTTCCCAGTGAGCAAACAATTTTTATACTTACAGCATTCATATAAATTCTTTCAGGTTTTTCTTTGGCAGACCTTTTTTTATTTATTTATTGACATTTGTCAATAAAACTCATGAATGCAACTGTTTATGTACAATGGCTTTGTGTTCTACTTGTAGCCTTGGTTGTCCTGAAAATAAAATGGTAAAACATTTCATTGTGAGGATACATATAAGGGTTGGATATGCAGATAAATGAAAAGCCGATTTTTGCTGGGGTCTAGGGACTGATAGGTTCCCCACCAAAAACATAGTTTAATTGGCTAACGGTAACTAGCTATCTAGCTAATGTTAATGTTAGCTGATGCCCAGAGAAAGTCACTGATAAAGCTAGCTAGCTGGCTGGCTAGTTAGTGTTGTTAGCTATTAAGGCAACCAAGCAAAGCAAGTCAATGGCTGTCACCTGTCAAACAGCCAACGTTAGCTACCTAACGTTACTAGCTAGCAAGGTAGATGTCAACAGTCAATGTCAGCAAAGATTATCGCCACAGAACAATTAGTTATAAAAACCTTTGTTATAGGGATGGCAGCTAGCTAACGTCGTTAGCTACGTTATAGCTGGCTAGTGGCTACTGCCATCAAGCAAAACATACCTGGTTTATTCTCCTTTTCCGACTCTGGACTTACGGAACCGCTGTATTTGTCCTGGTTTGATGTCGGTTTATTCTTGTCAAAACGAAACCGGTCTAAATTAAATATACTCATTTTCAAACGTCAAGTATTAAACCTTACACAGCTAGCAAGCAAGAGAGGTTAGCTCTTTGTCTCCGTACAAAATATTTCTTATTCTGGCTATCGAAAGCAGGCTAGCTACGATTACCAATGAATTGGTACGAATAACGTTAACTAGCAAGCCAGTTTGAAAGCGGGACTCTCAACAGTTTAAATATGTCAGTAGTCAAGCTATCTAACGACAAACTCACCAATATTACATTTCAAAATACGTTAATTAATTTTGCTATACACATTAACACTATAGCTACAAAACCTAGCCATCTTATTTTCCCGCGAACTCACACTGCGGCGAAAGACTATAAAACGCTGTCTATTGGACAAGATTACTCAGGGATGGACCAATAGCAAATGAAAGACACTAAAGTCGAGACCGGCTTTACACTTCCGGCACCATGTTACTGCTCGTAACCACAAATAGAAAAATGCGTTACCACATATAGAACAATGAGACAGATATTTCACCGGATGTATAAATGTGAAGCATCCGCTTAGTGGTTCTCCTCACTACCAAATAAGGAAGCCCGCAGTGGGAGAAGATGGAACGAGATGGATTTTAGCTGACATTTTGCACGTTTTCTCATCGATGAAACGTTTGATCTCAAGACAGTTTTCTGTTCCCAAAACTAGAATATGTTATTAACAGAGTGGACGAAGTTTTGTAGACTTTACCCTTTGCAAAAATAAATGTAAAATGGCGTTGTTTAGGTTATTTGGGTTGTTTGGGTTATTGCACACAGGGTCAGCAATAGTAATACCACAGATAGAACAACGAACCAGATATTTCACCGGATGTATAAATGTGAAGCATCCGCTTAGCGTTTCCACTCACTACCAAATATGGTAGTGAGAGGAATGCCCAGTGGCCAGCAGTGGGAGAAGATGGAACAGAGATGGATTTTTGCCGACATTCTGCAAATGTTGTCATTGATGAAACATTTGATCTCAATACAGTTTCTGTTCCCAAAACTACAACTACAATCTGTTACGAACAGAGTGGACTACGTTTTGTAGACTTTACCCTTTGCCAAAGTTTCCAAAAATTGCGTTGTTTAGAAGGAGTGCAAGGGCGAATTGGGTTATTGCATGGAAACATGCAAATACATGCTACAACGCTCCAATAGGTTGGCTCTACCCCCCTCGGTTCTTGTTCTGCCCACTATGACTAATTTGTTTCCATTGGAAACGACAGGCTGTGGTCTATCTTATGTTAGTTATAGACATATTTGGTAGTACAGCACCCATGAAGCAAATTCGAGTTAAGTGCCTTGCTCAAGGGCACATCAACAAATAGCATTTTTTTTTACCTGACTACCTGCCACCCATCTATGTATCCCAACACATCAGAGATTAATAAATAGTCAGACTTTTTTAATGCTAATGTTAACCTGGCATATTTCAATATTTGCTAAGAATTTGAATATAGTTTTTCAATAATGAATTAACTATATAACTAGTTATCTAAAATAATACAATAATTACTGATTAATAAACAATTATTTTTATACAGCCCAGCCCTAAAGGTTTGAGCCTGTCCGCTAGGTGACAGCTATAATAACGGTCTACCTTCCTATAATAACAGAGCTACTTTTCCCTCCACCCTCATGCCAGTAGTGTCCACAGGAGGGCAACACATACAAATACTCTTACCTTGGGCTGGGGTGGATTCTTGGCTCATACATTTACAGGTGTGAACCACTCGTATTAATATCATCCAGATTACTCACAATAACACGTCACTATGGAACAGGCATAAGCTTAAAACGTATAGGCCTACATTTCTTTAGGTTCACCTTTTGTTCCTTGCACCTACTCACCTGTATTCAATTCAGTTGTTTTTCCAACTCTTGGACTTTGATGGGTTGAAATGCTGCCCAGTGCCCATCCAGCAACATTGGGAGAAAAACAACATACTATATGTACTGCTTTTCGACATCAATTTACCATTCTATTTTAACCAGGTTGCTGGTTCACAAGGATTAGATGTAAATACATACTAACCTGCTTTGATGGCTATGTAATGCTGTTTAAGTAGCCTAGGTGTTTCATGTGTTGAAAAAGGCATGTACTCTTATAGCATAACATTGACTGGATGCATTACAATGTACAGTCCTGGCTTGTGTCAGCACAGCAGCGCCGTTCTGCCGCCACCCTGTCTCCTCTCCCCATCACTATGGAGACCCTATAACTTACACTACTGCCATGAAGACAATGGGCACACTGACATGGAGTCTGATCAGGGCCTTGACCCCACACAACGGGATGCCAAACCATGGCTCAAGTTTTGCTGCAGTCTCTCGGCTCACATATGAACTCACAGTCGCTCACCCTGTCTCTCTCTCTATTTACAACTTTTACTTTAAGTAACAGTACTCTCGTCTGGCTCTTTAAAAAGAGATGAATGCCTCATTGCTCCCACTGTCACCTCAAACAATAGATGGGAAAGCACAACAACACATTTACGTGAGCTGGCAGCCACTGTGTGTTAGCAGGTATGAATCCTTTATGGTTTGACCTTTTACCTCCTAGTCACCAATGCTTTTCAATAGAGACGGACAGAGATGCAGACCAGAGATAAGAGTAGCCAGGGAGTGGAGGTGGTTGATGAAGAGGAATATGGGGGTTTGAAGAGAGTGTTTGGATTAGTGATTGTGTACATGATAAGACCCCATCTAAAGTTGGAGTACACATTGAGATTGGGGAGCCCGTTGGGAAAGCACTTTTCAAGGTTGACGCGATATATCCCAGTGGACTTGTCACTGTGCCTGTCACTATACGGTCGCCATGACGCCCAACTTGGCCGAGACCCGACGGCAGCAGGGAGCACCTTATCTCCGTGGCAACACGTCTGGGATTTGACCCACCGCCCTTCTGAGAATGCATATCACCCCTTCAAACCCCTTACTGGGAGAGAAAAAAATCATCAGAACATTAATTAACCAGTGCCTCTGACTATTACATCCAAAACCCAAGAGCTGACAGAGTGATGATATTCATGATGGGATTGATCATAATACTAATTATGGTAATGGAATATGTCAGTATATAATTTGCATCAACAGTTTAATATATATTCATCATGTGATGGATAAGACGTGCAGGCAAAGTAAACATACCTCTGTACCTATTATAATTTTTATGAATGATCTTCTATTAGAGTTGTCATCCCACTGTGCAAAAACTGGTTGAATCAATGTTGCTTCCACATCATTTCAACCCAAAAAATCAATGTGGAAAACTGATTGGATTTACAAAAAGTAATCCATTTATTTACCCAACTTTTAACCTAAATCCAATGACATGGTGAAATGTTTTGTTGATTTCACGTTGAATTCACGTTAGCTGACAACTCAACCAAATGTAAATCAAAACTAGACGTTGAACTGACGTCTGTGCCCAGTGGGATGTCAACATTGAATACTGGTATGCTCTATGCAATTAATTGACCTGGAAGGGCCTCAAAAGTGCTTTATGAAAATATCAATATCAAAGTTAGAAAGGTATGATTAAGTAACAACATAAGGGGTAAAACTCAGCTATTATCAACAGGGGTGGTGACTGTCCTGTGAATTTCGCTATATCTCTCTCTCTGCCTCCATACCCAGTAGATATGGGAAAGGGAGGTGAGTTCCCTGTGTCCCTCCGTGGCAGGCTAGGGACGAATCCCAGCGAGGCCTGGTCCCGGTGGCACTGCCTGGGGACATTTTTTAAAACGGTGGGGTGGGAGTGCATGGAGTGGAGGGGGCACTGGGTACTACTGGGCCACTGTGGCAGCCAGTGAGGGGAGATGAAATCAACCCATCTCCAGGGTAAAGGCAGTGTGGGAAGAGAATGTGACGCTCCTTACCATGTCTCCTCTTTGTTGTCGCTCTGCTGCTAATATACTATGGGAATTCCCAGGGGGGAGAGAGGAGGGTGGGTGGGTGTAATGGGTGGGTGTTTTGGGGAAACACCTTAGGCTTATTAACTAATCATAACAAATGTGGAAATGCATGCACATATGTAGGAAAAGATGCCAGTCAAACTGCAAAGTGCATAGTGAAAACATCTGTGATTGTTCATTAGTGCATTAGTGGAATTGTGCATTAGTGTCTGTGATTGTTCAATCATCTGTGATTGGGTATGATCTTGAATGGACTGCCAGGAGATATCATGCTCTTTCCCCCAACCTGTCACCATTATAACTACCACAACTGTCTCATAACTAATCTGAATTACTTACATGTACTACATGCATCATTTCAACAGACACTATTGTCAGTCTATGAAACATTAATTGTGGCTCCCAACAGTTAGATCAACAGTATTTCTCTGCCTACATATTTGTTCCTAGAAGGGCTGCTCTCTCAATTTAGCCCATCCACGCTACATTTATAGCTCATGTCCAGGAGGTCAGTTTTGTTTAGTCATCATTCATTCATGTTGCTCACTGGAAAAGAACAGCATGAGCAAATTCCCAAGATTGTCAGAGTAGTGCTGAGCACCCAACACAATCCACTGAGGCAGAATGACTGATCCCCTGGTTTGACTTACATAATATCACTCAAAGCTTTGTCTCGCTTACATAGACATGGCCAGTATAGTACTTTAATACCTTTCAATTGTTCTATTTGCTTCCCCTAGTAAATGCCCCAATGCAAACAATATCCTGTAGTCGATTCAGATTTGATGTGTTCTACAAATCCTTCTGAATATGTCCTCCCCCTATGTATTAAATACGTCAAATATTTGCCCAATTCTGTTGGTTTCATTTCCATGACGTCAGAGAATATGCACATACGTTTGAAACTGTTATAGATACATTGGGGAAGTACATACGATTTGTGCTACACTTTCTTGTCGACCCCTCTTATATTAGCAACCTATGCTATCGCCTTCTTTCTTATATAGCTCAAATGTAAAATAAACCCAGCCTTAAGCCTCAGTATTACAGCCTAATGAGAGGACGTTACAAAAAATGATGTTTTCCTTCTTTAATTGATATGTTATTGGGAAAGAAAATGTGAGAGGGGAGAGGGGGGCTCCGGGGCACACAGACAGTCAGGGAGAGAATGAAAAACCCGTTAGTGCTGTCCCTTGCCCTCTTTGCTTTAGGGATTGCACAGACTGTGAAATGGCTGAGACGGGAATATGAAGATGGGAGCAACCCCCTACTGGCGAGGGCTGGTGGGCTTGTGTCTGCTCTGGGACAAGCCAGCGGGGGATGGGTGGGGAGGGGGGGTGACAGCAGCAGCAGGCAGCGGCAGAGGATATGTGGGAGAGAGGGGCTGACGCCACGGGG